TTTAATTTTATCCTTAATATCATTACTTTTATTATTGTTATTATTACAATAAATGTTACTATTATTGTTGTTTTTGTTGTTAGTATCTTTATTGATATAACTCTCGTTATTAAGTCATAGCAAGTTATTATTATATAATCAGTGTTGTTATCATCATTTCGTTGAAAATTCTGTGAGAACAATTGTGTGTTTGCTAAGTTGGAAATCCTTTCAAACGCTGGATTTTTTTCTGGTTCGAGTCAAATTGAAACTTCTGAATTCCAGGTTCGTGCCAAAAAGAATGCCCGTCCAACTAGGATCAAATCAGTGGAATATCAGATCGTGTGAATTAGTCCTAAATATTGAGTATATCGATGTGATATCAGCAAATTGAACAAGCCACGAAAGTTACATGATCATTTATTAAGAAAGATATGTGATAAAATCACAATGAAACACCTCAACTGGGAATAATAATAATAATGTAATTCATATAAGTATATTGGATATCTTTTCGGCATTGCAGTAAGATGTTAACGGTAACATACAATGCAATCAGAATAATAAAAGAAATAATGACCAATAACGATAATAAAAATAATGATACAAGCAATTGAGTACAAAAAAAAACATCCTATTTATATAAGTTTCGAGTAATATCAATCGAATTAGATTGGAATGACATCGGAAGTTATCTCTTATCATCACAATTATCACTGTACTCAACACCGTAATCAATCTCGTCATGCAAGCACACCAACAGGTTCGTCTTCGATACCACACGAATTAATGCCACGTGCAAAATACACATAACCATTTTCCATTCCATAATTCTAAAGTATTAAAACACACCAAATGAATGATTTTAACAACAACAATTATCCAAGGAATGTGGGAATAGCACCCCATCTATGCTCAAATGATCGTGCAATTACTCCTTTAATAAGACTGAACAAGGACCTAGGTGTTAAGGTCATTCAATCAGCTCGATACATACATATACTGAAAGCTCAAAGCCCGTCCGCAGCTTACTGACTGTTATTTTTGAACTATTCATTGAATTCGGATACTCTTCAATGAATTCTCATTCTTTTCAGACGTGTTCTAAACGCTCTCAACACATTTTCTTGTTAAATACGTTCTCTTGGTGTCATTTCCCCAATACTTTCAATGCTAAACAAATTGGTGTTCTCGTAAAATTCTCATTCTTGAGCGCACACTCTCTTGTTGCTATACTGTTACTGTTGATTCACTGATCAACACTGCATCAAATCAAACGTGTTATGTGAATCGTTTAAGCATTATTGCAACTTTTAATAGCAATATTATTGCGTCTCCTAACAATCGAATGTAATTTCAATGGACAGTTTGCAGAGTTTAAAACATTTTCTGCAGAGTTTTTCAAATATCTGGAAGAACGTTAAATGAGTGATTGAAACAAATTCAGTATTCAAAAGAACTGAGGATGTACTCCAAAGTTACATGATGATAAGTTGAGATGAGCATGTTCGAGGACGAAAAATTAAACAAGTAATGACATATAAGGACGGGGCATTTGCATATTCGCTTGATGTAGTCGTAGTAAGTTTGAAGTGATAATTGATTGCGAGTAAATTAATAAATGAAAGGATAACAGAGAGTATTTGCTCAGGTTTCTCAGGTTACTTACCTACTTCAGATGACATCAAGGCTATTAAGCATCTTGAAGAACAGGTCTACTTTTGGATAGATTCTTCTGGTAGAAACTTAAGCATTTATGTGTGTCTAGGTTTGTGATCAAGATAATATGGTGGCGATTGTGCGAAAACGACAAACCTGTCCCCAGCTATTCTTAACAATCCAATACTTTTCGTTTGTCTCTTTCCAAGTTCCATAACCAACAATATTCAACGCATGCGTTCCAATAATTTTATTCTCGCACTCCCATTTCTTCGGCGTATACACACCACCTTTGTAAGCCTTCATATCACCGGTCACATTGATCCCTGAAATGATTACAATTTATTGCTTCATCACTGACTCAACTTTTGAACTTATCTTATCGAATTGAATTGAATTGAGTCAAATTCTTCGGCATTACTGCAAAAATGCTACAGCGAGATTTTAAAATCAGAGGATAATACTAGTGATAATAATAATTTTCTGATTAAGGAGTTGATTAAACAAATTAGATTAGATTATAATCATTTTTACAATTATAACTGATAAATGAAGTCTAATACATGGTGATATTGAATAAAGAATCATAATAATGCGCAGTGAATAATCAAATTAAAGTTTCAGCTAATGATTTGCAAATGCAATCAGAATCGTTAAAGGTGATAGCAAAACAAAATGATACTAATTTTAAACCGAAAAAAAGAACATACCGACATTAACAGGACCATAGTGAATAAGCCAGTCGATAATGGAAGCTTCATCTTGATGCAAGAAAACAGCTGACTTGATATATGCTTTCGTACCATGCAGAGCGCACTGATCCTGTCGATGTGCTACATATGGATAATCGTACTCCGTAACTAATCCTTCATCGTATACATACCTGAAGACATCGACTATCAATACAGAAATCTCGTAATGGCTCTTAATAGCAAACTTCTTTCAAGAATCCAAAATCGAATGCAATTGTTCACAATATGAAATCATATAAATGAAGAAGCTGACTGGGTAATGGGGGGTTAACTGACTGGGTAATAATATGTTCTTAGATATCTCCTTAAAATTTCAAAAATTTCAATTCTAATAACTCCTTAATCTCCATATCTCTTTTCTTAGAATTTCAATACCTCCTCAGTCTCAAATACCTCCTTTTCAAAAGCTGAATGGCAATTCTAGATCGTTTTTTTTTTGATAATACATTGAACGCAGATAATCTCAAATGAATTTCATTGTTTTTCGACGTCTAATCATCGCTCTCATCACTTTTATGCATTAAAAGCGTTTTCTCGCTTCATTCTCTCATTCTTTCCATCGAACGTTCAATTCAACTTCACATTCTTTACATTCATACTGTGTATCGAGTGTGTTGTTGATAAATTCATTATCAACAATATATCAGATAGACCGCATTAGTAATGGTCAGCTCAAAAGACTTTCCGACAATAATGCAGTATGACTGCACATAATTTTGACACGAATAATCGAAGATTAATAAACAAGTATATCGCTAATTAAGCTTATCGCCAAGTTTTACGGTTATTGTTGAATGATTTTCGATCAGGAAAAGCGAACTCAACTCAAAATGTTTCCTTGATTAGTGATCTAACACTGGCTAAGCTGCTGTAAAAATTATTACACTAAGGGACGGCAAAGTTCAACGAGTTGTAATCGAAAGACGATGAAATATAAATAATTGCTGGTTGATTGGATAGATTAAACAAAATGACTAGGTAGAATTAATGAATATCATATAAATCGAGGTTGGAAAGTATCATTCGCTCTCATTGAGAATATAATCTGATTTCAATACGAAAACTGGGTTGAAAAGAATGAACTGAGACCTCAAAGCTTTATCCACATCGCCTCCATCACACGCGTTATTATCAAGATTACAGTCGAGCAACTGTTGTTCTGAGAGATTGCGTAACTCGCCCGTCCCGATCGCATAAGCAGATTCAACCGTACCAACAGTTGCAAATGCCCAACATGAACCGCATTTAACTGAAAACAAATGAAATGAAAACCATTTCAACAATCGAGAATTATTTATATGATAGTCCGTTTGATTGCAACAACATCATCAAAACCCTTGAATAGTTTCAGAAATGATGTGTTTTCTTTTGAAAAATTCCAGAGACGCGCTAGAAATGAGCATTAAGAAGTTCTGCATGTTTGAAAGAATTATTCAAGAGGCTGGGAATCAGCGTGGTCCTGGTGATGTGCAGATGAAAATGTTTTGATAATGTGAACGTTTTGTGTGCATGAAACACCGTTGAAGTGTTAAAAAGGCGAATGCTCGTCTTTGAGAGAGAGAAATTCTAAAACTTAAACAGGACGGACGAATGAAGTTTGTTTTATGCTTCAAAATGACTGCATACATTGCGATTTAACAGGTGTTACAACTTTATATGGACGCCAGTCGAAATGCTCAGGTATTTCCTCGTGCACATCCCATTTGGTCAGTTTTCGTTGATCGATTGACGATGAAATGAATGTGGCACGTTCACGCATATTTTTGAATGATCCAACAGGAAGCAAAATCTGAAGTGAAGTTTGAAGTTCAATTTTCAATCGGAATAAATCGTTTTCGATAGTGTGATAAAAAGATGCTCACAATTGAAACAGTAGCAACGATAATAATGAAGAAACCTATGAATAAAAGTTCCTAAATTGCGTTTGAGAAAATAATGAGTATAACAGCCTACAGACATTTTCTTCATTGAAGTAGACTATTTCGATTTGCGAGAATCACCATTCAAGCGAGAATCTGTTTGGGAAACAACCATGGGAATGCATGGGAATATGCTCGCAAAAAACCTCAGAACCTATTCAGATCCACGAGCACGTCTCACGGGTATAGATCCTAGCGACTGGTGGAAAGATTTCGGGATCAGGGGATTTTCCGATTAGCAATCGATTCGTTTGCTCGACCTTCGAAAGCTTTTAACTTTGCTATATTCTGTCAAGTAGTGTAATCCGCTCACAGCCTAACCAATAATATCGAATGAAATTACCCGTCGAAACTCCTCATCACTCCAATCAGTGAATTCATTTTCACCATAAAATGTACTGTACTGATGAGTGAACTGATTCATGTGGTCGATTATGATCATATTTTGAACATAGTTTTGGAAATGTCGCATAAATTCGTCGTTATTCGCATAAACCTTACCGTATCTACAATGCATCTTCTTATTTGTCATCGAAAATAGATATAACTTAATTTATCACATCTTATTTGAAGGATATTTTCCATTCGAACAGTTTATGGAATGCTTCAATGATCTTACTAGTTAGTCAATTCTTGATCTATGATGTTTTAGAAATAGAATATAGCTCAACTTTCAATGATTCGATATACGAATGCATATATAATTTCTTGTGGGGATATCCCTTATTCAAAAGTAATTCACCTTCAGTAGACATTTTTTGGAATTTTCTTTAAGGATTATGAGAGATCACTTGAGATGATCACTCATCATTCTGTGTTAGAGCAATTACCTATTGCTCACAACAATCGATCACTGTTCAACATACGGTGGCAGATCAGACAGAATCTCTTTCTTTAGTGCAAAGATATTTTGTGCTAGCATATAACAACCAACATGAGCTCAGTTTCTGAACATGTACATGACTGCATGAAAGCATATTTTGTTTCTTAGGTACTAATTAGGATAACTTAATCTCAACACTAATAAGGAACGTATCAAATTAGCCACAAATGAGCAACGCTCCAACAGGTTGTTGGAGATCTCTGCAAGATCATTTGTAAATTCTTTTTAGAATCTGTTTAATCAAGTGAATTTATTTTGAAATCGCCTAAGTTGTAGTGCAACGTTTCATAAGCTATCACTTTCAATCTGACAAGTACTGTTAGTATATTAATTCGGTTCCGATTATATCCGAAGAATGATGTTATTTCGAAAATCTCATTTGAAAGCGTCCAATGTGATTGAGTGTGAACTGTCACGACTTCAGTGGCTGTGTATCGAGTGGCGCCTGATGGGTAAACATTCAAAACAACTAACTTCTTCACAAATCGATTGAACTGATCCAGAAACTGCGGGGCTGATTCAAAGCTCTGAAATGTATACAAGCGTCATTTGCATAAAATAGGGACATAGCAAAATTTCATGGATCAATGCACTACTGCTGCATTCGAAGGCAACTGCTGTTGCTCTTCGAACAGTTATGCGTAATTTGTTGCTTCAGAGGCCAACCGTTTGCGGCTGTATCATTGCATCGGCCGGTTGATAATTGATGACGAAATATAGAATGATTCCGCTTTGTACTAAAACCAACAACAACATCAACGCCAAACCAACTTTTCCGAACAGTGCACACCTAGAAAATTTTCATTGAAACTAGAATTTAGAACAGTTCATTTATTAGAATAATTTGCTTACTATTAGAATACTTACTAATACCAACGGGAAATCTCATCAACCTCAGCGATCATTATGAATGCGAGGATTACACATGATCAACACATCAACAGTCTTCAACTTAAATATACATTTGAAATGCGGAATTTTTCGCGAGTTTGCCGTTTAGGTTAACTCTAATTTTTTAAGACTTTTGCACGAGTCTGAAAAAATCTTTTTGTAACGAACGGATTCTGAGATACAAAACTGTAAGAAGTGATACTCAATAAGCAGTCGTTCACCTTTTTTTCGTTGGTCTTGCGAAACCGTCTAACAATTCTTCGAAATCAGTCGCATTATCTTTCACAACGATCAGTTTCACCTTTCCTGATGAAACGCGATTGAGCGAAGCCATTTTTACAGTTGTCCTGTTGTGCTTACCGAAAAAACAAACGGAACTGCCATTAAAATAGCAATAATAACACTTGATAACTCTAGCATTCATACCAGCAATAATAATAGCAATATTTTTGTATTGTTAGTTCATTTCATAGCCATGATAGGCCATAAGCACTGCAGAATATTCGGTCGAATAAAGTGTTTTCAGTTCCTAAAAGTGTGCAAATAAAATAAACTGGAACCTGTACGTAGGCAGCAGCTTTTCGGCACAACTTGAACTAAGTTGCGATCACAGACAAACCACTGCAACTATGACAATCGGCGAATCGCGGAACTGAACGCCTGGAAATTATCGGCGTTGTCTACTAAAACAAGACTATTTTGAGACGAGTATCATTCGCAGTTTCAATGAGACAACAAATAAGAACCTCATCGCTATTCACAAACAGCTTGACTTATGGCTAATTTCAGTTTTGACAATTGCACGTTTACAGTGAACCATTTTCATGAATTGATTCGATGTTCAACTGCGAAATTAAACGGAATCAAAACTGGAATCAAACCAATCGAATATGCCAAATGCCATTGTAGACACTATCAATGGAATAGGCAAACCAGTGTAATCACTATAATGAGTATTTTCTCAAGCTCAGTGCTGTCATGTTTTCTGTGAGTATTTTCACGCAATCAGCATGTTATCAATCCTTGATAGGCATGAATTCGTACCACACTCTCACTGGTATGCACTACCGTTATCATGCGATTGATTTTTTGATGAACTGTGTTACTTGATAGTGGTCAGTGTTCATCCATCACATATATATTGCATCACTGAAGTTACAATGAGGAACATTTCTGTCTCATCTATTAAGAAATCCATCTTGGCTAGAGACGAATGAATTTCAAGTTAAACATTATCAGCTGAAAACATAGCCTAATGTGCTTTATTACGAGATAGATAATTTCTTCGATCGCATTCAATCGATTTATAACTGGGCCGCTTCAAAATCGTAACCACACATATGGCCTGAGGTGAGCCGTATAGCTTGATGAGAAACATTATGAATCGTGGATTTCCTGCACAACGCAGAGAGTTTGCTATGGCAATAATTGGATAAGTGCTTGGTGAGCAGTATGATGCAAAATCAGAAAATTACACGAATCTTTGTAACCATGCAAGATTAGCCAAAAAAACGCACATTTTCTCTTATATTCAGAATGATATCTTTCTAATGGATTTAACAGGGAACACAGTGGGTTGCTATGAAATTATGAGCGTGTATGAGCAAGCCTGAAGCAATGCATGTAGTCTGTAGAAACACACGATGAATCATGGTATCTTTGCAATATCGAGTGTATTCACTCAATTACTAGTATGCTACTCAAATCATTCTATCAAAATTGTCATTATACATTAATACGATGATTTCAGTAAGTTTGTTTTCTATACTGCATTAATATCAAACCTGGAATTACTATCTTCTGAAATTTGAGTCTGATATTGACGGAAATCTGAAAAGCAGTGCTGAAAACGCATAAAATTGTGCTGATAATGAAATTTGCTGATAACAAAATTTGGAAATATAGTGACTTGTATTGATTCTCATTTCAGAATTTGAAACTTACAAACTGATTTACCTTAAATATAACTATTGGATTGGATTCTCGATGAAGCGTACATTACTATCATTATCTACAGTCAGTCGTACTTTCTAGTGTTTGTCAAACATCATCATTCATCGTTATTCAAAGCACACATGAGATTTAGATTTCTCATTGACATTGTTTTATATTATGATGTGATTCTTTATTTCACCCATGATTATTCATTATATATGGGGTGATGCTTCTTTTTTCTTTGTTATCTTTTGATAGAGACCTGCGATTCCTTTTCTGGGATGTTAATTGGGCAAATTGTGATGATTTATTCAGAAATTTTAAATTAGTCGAAAATATTGCTGTGCTCACAATCGGATTATTTGTTGAACGCTGTAATCTGAAGGCTTTGATTATAAGCTGAAGTTGATTATCAGATGTTGATCAGTGGGGCTGACGAACGACAAGCACTAATCAACAAAATTTTTTGTTTCCAAGGTACATTTCATCACAGACTTCATATGCTGATTCAGGTA